AGCCACTTGGATGGTAAATTTGGCTCCATGGCTGACCATCATCCTGCAAAATGAAGAGGGAACTGGGGAACTGGGGGTGGGGGAGTATCTTATATTCCAAAAAGGAAGGTCATTCATTTACAGACACAAAGCTGTTATTAATTTAAAAATACTAAAATAAATAATTTGCAGGAAAATGTAAAACTGTCTGAAAGAGCAGATGTATCAATAATACATTGGTTACAACAGAAACCTACTTTGAAAAAATTTACAGCATTTTATGACAGAAAAAGCACACTAAAAGAAATCTGTTAGTAAAATATAATGTATGTATAAAGAAAATCCTTCACCAGACCCAATAAACTGGTGCTGCAAAATCACAAAGAGTTTTACCAAATAACAAAAACCACATCACTTTAAGACTTCCAACAGTAGCAACAACAAAAATGGATAGAACATATAACATTAAGAGAAAATAATGATATAATCAAGATGCTATCTTTCTACATTACCAATTTTTGTAGCAGACAGAACACAGACTAAATCAAGCAAGAAATCTGTTTGTAAAATATAATGTATGTATAAAGACAATCCTTCATCAGACCAAATAAACTTGTGCTACAAAATCAAGAAGAGTTTTACCAAATAAATAAACCACGCCACTTTAAGACTTCCAACACTAGCAACAAGAAAAATGGATAGCACATTCAACAAGAAGAAAAAATAATGACATAATCAAGATGTTATCTTTTCACAGTACCAAAAGCAGAAAAATTGGACGAAAACTCCCAATAATATTACATAGAAATATAAGAACTTCATGTCATCATCATCATCCTTTAAAATCAAAACTCGAAGACGAAATAAATGTGTTGTAGACAGAAAGTTTTTTTTTTTAATAATGTGTTATTTATTAACGTTTATATAATATTGGAACATGCAAGTCTCAACGCTAAAGTTCAAATATTTCAAGTGAGAATTTTTTGTAAAAATTTTGTAATTTGGTAAATCCACGAATTCTTTTGTTGTAAGTGTTTTCCAGTTAACGTGACATGAACTAAGTACATAGTTCAATTAATAGATTGATATGTCTTAGTAGTTTTTTTTTGTTTTTTTTTTCACCGGAATTTTAAAGGAAAATATTACAGACTGATGATGAGGGCAGGAAGTTCTTGAAAGTACTTGCTGCTCTAAAAAAAAAAAATAAACCAGATCCATCTGACAATAATTTTATACATAAGGATCGCATCATTCAGTGGATTGTTAGTTGTTTTATGCTTATATTATGTTTTGTTAGCGAAGAGATTTCGCCATTGATTGCATTAATATTGCTAATTGATTCAATGTATGATTATCTCTTTATAATATAAAATATATGCTGCCTAATATATATATATATATATATATATATATATATATATATATATATATATATATGTGTGTGTGTGTGTGTGTGTGTGTGTGTGTGTGTGTGTGTGTGTGTGTATTGATGCAATAGGAAATAGATTAATGATCCAAAGTTCTTTACTATTTATGTTTTTTTACTGTTAAAACATAGTGTCCGATACAGAAGTAGGGCTTAAAATTATAATTATTTTATAAAAAAATGATTCCATCGCGACACAGAAATTACTGCTTCGAAACTGCCGAAAGTCGTAAAGTTTAATTTAAATATTAAACTTAAAACTTAGAGCACAGTTTCATTCTCAAGCGATGTTTAGAATACTATATATTAATATAATATTATATATATATATATATATATATATATATATAATGCGTCCCAGAATTAACTACCTGTTTCAGTGAAATCGGAAAATCTATTACTTTAAGTATATATATATATATATATATATATATATATATATATATATATATATATATATATATATATATGTGTGCGTGTGTGTGTGTGTGTGTGTGCAAATGTATAGAAATATAGGAAAGAAAACTTTAGGTTATTAATCCGAAGTTGTTTAGTATTTTTGTTTATATTTTTAAAAAAACACTGCCCAATACAAAATATAGCCTAAATTATGATTGTTTAAAAAATATGATTCCTTCACTACATATGAGTTCTCATGTTTCAAAACCAAGAGCCAATAACTTCAATATAATTATTAAAAAATTAAATTGAATTAAAGTACCAAGCTCTGTTTCATCTTCAAGCGAAATTGTTGGAATAACTAATCTTGAAATTTACGCATCTTTGTAAAGATACGTAAATTTCAAGATAAGTTATTCCCAAAATTTACGCTTTTTACGAAGATGCGTAAATTTCAAGATTAGTCATTTCAAAAATTTCGCTTGAACATGAAACAGGGCTTGATACTTTAATTCAGTTTAATTTTAATAATTATATTGAAGTTTTTGGTTATTGTTTTTGAAACATGAGAACACACACACACACACACACACATATATATATATATATATATATATTGTCATCCATAAATATATATATATATATATATATATATAATGTGTCGCAGAATTAACACCCTATTTTAGTGAAAACGAACAATACTTTTAAAAAACTAACTTGTATTTCTGTTCAGCATGTTTAATATGTGTTAGAAATGTATGCATTTCTAATTTTGATTATAACTGTAATTTTTAGAAATATTTTCTAATTTTATTTTTAATCCCTTTCAGAACCCTATTAATAATGAATACACTAGAAAATGTATCTTTGTTAAATGCATTTGAATAAAAGCAAAGTATTATCGCCAAAAGATCAATAGTTTAGCTGAGCTTAAGTAAAGCATTCAGTTATCAGCACAGGAGATAATTACTGAAATGCTTCAAAATGTGTTTCACAACGCTAAGTATAGATTTGATAATTGCAGGTTTACAGGCGTTGCATATAGTGAAGATTCTGACGCATGATTTATAAACCTATTTGTTTTTTTATCGTAATTAATAACATAAAATTGTGTCAGTTGTTAAAAAAATTGCTAGATTTCATTGAAATAGTTAATTCTGGACAACATATATAATACACTGTTACATTAGAAAATGTAAATATCCAATACAAAATTGTGCATTTCGTTTCAACATTTAAAATAAAACGTCTCTCCGGGTGGTTAACAATGATGGTAATAAACAATGATATTTAAAATTGCAATTAATGAAACATCACTTCATTTTCCGTTTTTGGAAAGTTTTCTATAAAAGGTAAAAATGATTTATCTAAAGAAAAAGAAAGAAAATAATAAATCAATAAAAGAAAAAGAGGAAACGAAAGAAAGGCAAGATAAACATAAGAAATTAACCCTACAGCCAAGCGAAAAGACATAAAAGAAGGCAAAAGAAATAGAGAATTATATACATATATATATATATATATATATATATATTTTTTTTTTTTGTCTTTTCGCTTAGTTGTAGAGAATTTATATATATATATATATATATATATATATATATATATATATATATACGAAGAAATATAGTCTTAAGGTGACCTATATTTATGGGATAAAGTGCTCAATATCAGAGATAGAGCGTGTAAATATAAAAGTGAACATAGAAGTCAACACTTAGAGGCGACAGTCTGTTTCATGCTATATGCAATATTGCATATAGCATGAAACAGACTGTCGCCTCTAAGTGTTGACTTATGTTCGCTTATATATATATATATATATATATGAAAAACTAGGTAATCCGTATGGGTAAACCTAAGGAGGATAATAAAATCCAGAGAGCTCAATGTAAATCCAGAGCAAATAATTTAAATAAAAACAGACCACTTTAAGGTTCCATGTAATAAATTATTTCACCACAGCCCTTTTAAAAGGACTGCGGATCATCAGACTTTACTTCCAAAGGTTGAAACAAAAAAAAGAAAAGAAATTTACACATTTTTGACGGGCCGTATTAAACATATGTAAATTAACGAAGTGAGGAAGTGAGAGAAGACATGAGTGAGTTAGCAGATATTGACACATTCAAACGGTTAACTTAACGGAAGTTATATATTGATATCGAAGGGGTAGAGGAGAAAAAATCATAGAGAGAAAAAGAGAGAAGGTGTCACTAATTTTCTTTGTAAAAAAATTAAATTATTTATTACATGGAACCTTAAAGTGGTCTGTTTTTATTTAAATTTCTGATGAAAATTGAGGGCAATCTGAAATATCAAATATATATATAAATAAATAAATACTTTCATTATTTTTTTAATTTGCAACTTTTTCTATATATATATATATATATATATATATATATATATATATATATATATTCTCTATTTCTCTTTCCTTTCTTTTTTGTCTTCTCGCATGGTTGTATGGTTGTTATATATAAGTAACTATTATATGTAAACTCGCGTTATTCGTCCGAGCACTATAAGGAAAAGGGTAATTTAAAAACAGTAGCCGCTGATGCTATTATCGCATCGCTCTTCATTTATGACTTGAGCCCTCTGGCTGCTGGCGTTTGTATGAAACCGTATATAATGCGTTAAAATTTACATTTCCCCTTCGTGCGCCGATAGCTTCATGGTAGGGTTTGTGACTGATGCCAAAATCGGTAGGCTTTCGATCCCGGTTTGAAGCAGTCGGATGTCTACCCATACTGATAAGCTGTAATACAGTATTATTAGTAGCAGAGATACAATCTCTGAACGGGCATGTAAATTGATACACTATATATTGTATTTTGTAGAGGATTTAGTTGTGTGGTTGTAGGGTTATTGGAGACTATGCGATCAGTTGTTTTAAATTTTTTATCAACAAATTAAAATGTATCTCAATAAACTTAATAATACATTTAACAAAATTGATAATATTAATAATAATAGTGTACGTCAAAATAAACATAACACTATTAACTTTTGTAACGAAATGCATAATAATTACAAACATGATGAATCAACACTGAAAAACATAAACGTTAAACCTATTTATAATAATAAGCAAGTTTATCATATATCATAAAAAATTAAAAAAAACTGATTGAGAAATGCATGAATCGAATTCTCCCTAAACTCTGTGTCACCATTCCTAAATGGAATGTCACGACAAAGAGAGAGAGAGAGAGAGAGAAAGAGAGAGAGAGAAAAAGAGAGAGAGAGTCGATGAGTGAGCTATTGGGAAAACCACTCTCCTATAAATAGTTTATATTCCAGTCATGATTAATAGTGAATAAAAGTGGATAGATTACGAAAATAGTATGGAATGCTAAAATGTTAGCTTCAGCAAGATGGGGATTTAAAAAAGAAACTTGTATTTCGTCATTAAGTCAAACTTTTTGGTTATTTGGTAATATTTTGGGGTCATTTTGTCATATGCTCATTTGATTATTTGGTCAGTTGCTTTCTGATCATTAGGTTATACTTTTGGTCATTTTTCATGTTTGATTATTTTTGGCCCTTTGATCGTAAATTTGGTCATTTAGTCGTATTGTGGTTATTTTGGCCATGTTATAGTCGTTTGATTATTTGCTTTTGGGTCATTCTGTCATTTTTTGGTAATCTTGTCCTATGCTCATGTGGTGATTTGCTTTTTGGACATTTGGTTAATTTTTTGGTCATTTAATCATATGTTTAGTCATTTGATCATTTTTTGTTCGATTGGTCTTTTTTTTATATTTGGTCATATTTTGGTCATGTTTTTGATCGTTTTCTTAGAGTTGGCAAATTGGTAATTACCAATTTGCCAATTACCAAAGAATAGAAATGATTGAAATGCTTCTTTCTAAAATGTTTGTAATTTAGGTTACGAATATAAGTTGTCACCAATGCAAAATAAAACGATAAAAATCATATGAAGGAAACATAAAAATAGAAAAAGCAGAAGAGAAACGTAGAAGAGGTGAAAGAAAAGTTGGAGAAGATGATTAGAAAAAAAAAGAGGTGAAAAACTTGGAAGAAAAAGAGAAGAAAACTTAAGTAATGAAGTACCGCGGAGTTGGAGATGGAAAAAAAAAAGAAGGCGAAAACTAGGACGAGGAGGTGAAGAAAAAGAAGCAGTAAAGGGTGAAAGAAATGTAGAAAGGATTGATGGAGAGAAGGTGAGAGAAAAAAGAAGGAATAATAAAAAAGAAGAAAAATTAAAAATCAAATGGAAGAAGAAAAATGAAGAAGAAAAAGCAGAAAAAGTAAAAAACAAAGAAAAGTTAAAAAATAAAAGTAAAAGAAAAATAAGAATAAGTAGAAGAAAAAGACGAATTGAAGAAAAGAATAAAAAGCAAAAACAAACATAAAGAAAAAGAAGAAAATGAATAAAAAAGAATAAAAAGATGAAGAAAAAACCTAAAAATAAGACGAAAAAGCAGAAAAAAATGAAAAAGAAAAGAATAAAAAGAAAAGGAAATATAAAAAAGAATAAACTGTAAAGAAATTCTCTTAATGGGGTTAATAGTTGAGCGTTAGTGTTCTGCGACAGCATTCTCAATCGCGTCCATTATTCTAAAGTGAATAGGAAACACTCTCCTGTGGAATCGTGAAAAATGCGTTTGGGGTTAACAGTGAATCTGATGCAATTATTATAAGTGATGATGGCTTCTAATGATTTTCAGAACTTATTTATTTCTTCGGCTCTCTTATCACCTATTCCGATTAAAGCTTTAAATCTTTTTGACAGCTTCAGGCATCTATCTACCTGTCTCAGACTGTTCATTATTGATCTATGTATTAATCTTAGCCTCTGTCTCTCTATCTATCTCTCTCAGTCTGTTCGTATCTATCTATCTATCTATCTATCTATGAAAATCTGTCCATATCTATCGGTCTATCTGTCTGTGTATCTATCGGTCTATCGATCTCTTGTCTGTCCGTAACTATCTATCTATTTATCTATCTGACTATAGATCTCACACTGTCCATATCTATCTATCTATCTATCTATCTATCTATCTATCTATCTATCTATCTCAGTCTTACCGTATCCATCTATATATCTATCGCAGTCTGTCCGTATCTATCTATCTATCTATCTATCTATCTATCTATCTATCTGTGTTCCTATTTATCTAACTTAGCCTGTTCATGACAATCTTTTTTTAATATCTGTTTTGCGCTCACACTATTTGCCTCTCTATCTCTCTTTCCCTCTCGATATATATATATATATATATATATATATATATATATATATATATATATACGACATTGTTATTATACGTTTTCTGGAATAGTTTAATTAATTTATTAAAACTCGAAAGTAAAAAAATCAAAGCACAGTTCTTCGGTACTTTAAACAATTTTACAGAATTGTAATTTTCTCTCTGAATGTCTGAGATAAGGAATTGTTCTTATTTACGTTATTTATATCTGAACGAATATCCAAATCCTTGATTTTTATTATCAAATGACTTCGACCGTTGTCTATACTCTGAATTTCATCAGGTGTTCGCCGATCCTGTTAACTTTCAGAGAAATTCGAACATGACCTTTTACTCAATCCACGGGAGATTGTCCGTGTATTTTTCTTTTTATTGCACGCTCTGTTTCCACTTAGTCGGTACTACCCGGCCTAGTGTCTTGCATGCTAGCAGCAACAGTGTCAGCAGGCAAAGAATAAGAACGCCAATTTTAAAAATTCTAGACTCAGGATTGTCCTATGAGACCAGAGCCTAGTGGATTAAAGCGTTGATTTGTGAATTTGATGGCATCGTAATTATGAGCAACACCTGATCTGAGCGCTACAGAAGTAAAAAAATGAACAAGCCATGATATTCCTGAAGCTTATCTGAATCGGCAAACACCTGAAGAAGGTTGGATAGCACATCGGCCAAAACAGTGCAGTAGCAAATGACAGAGACATCAGTTGGCATGAAAATAATTAAAAAATGATAACATTTTAAATTTGAAATAATAATAATTTGGAGGTACGGTAGAATAATGGATAGAGACTCGGATTGAGGAATCGGAGAGCCGAGTTCGAATTCCAGTCGGATCCATTACATTCACTTACGTGAATTCTCTTGGAAAATGTATGAATCTTCTTCTCCTCCCCCCATCTATGGATAAACAGCAGAACAGACTTCAGTGGCTAATGTTAGGAAAACTCTATATTCAAAACCAGTCTGGAGGTAAAACTTTATAGGCAGATACAGGCTCTAGAAGTTTGAAGGGAACCTATCTATGGGAAGGTCATTCCGAAATATAACCTGCGTCCTTGCACGTCACTTATCTTGTGGCAGCATTTGCACCAGAAAGCAGATGGCGGGCACTGGACATGACAGTGAGACTGGGAATGAACAAACCTTTCTGTTGTGACTTAACGAACACTTATCGTCACTTTTGTGATGTCAACGAGTACTCGTTGTTACTTTTGTAATGCTCATTGTAGTAGAGACATTGTAATCGCAGTTACAATTATAATAAGCCGTCGAACAAAGCTGGTGTCAGATGCCTTCGAATAACTATCGCATTAATAGTACTTGCTCGATAATACTCGCTCTAAAAGTAATCACCGAATAGTGATCCGAATAGTAATCCCTATAGTGACCAGTATAGAGAAATAGTGTAGTGGATAGAGTAGAGAATAGTAATAGAGGATAGACTGGAATAGTGATACGAATTGTAATAGAGGATAGACCAGAAATGAGGATCAATCTAGACGAAACGCGACCTCATGTATATGAGTTTCCTCTATAGTCACGTGATCTACTTAATTCAATAATGAGATCGCGCTTGTTTACACACTAGCGATCTATGTTCAAACACAAGTGTCAGCAGCGACAGTGTATTCCTATATAACAATTTCTCACTGCAGGACATTCTACGACACTAGATGAGTCTTCTACGAAAGCACGAACAGGAATTAACTAGACCGAAGATAACGACTGATGTTGCATTTAAATTCTACAAAAACAAACTTGACTGGGAAGTAAGAAACCGGAAGTGAGTTCCACAAGCGGGAAATGCAATAGAAGAAACTATTTGCATAGAACTTACGGTTACGTTTAGCCAATTGAACTCTAAAATGATGAGACCTCGCCGCTAATCTAGTACTGTGCTTAAATTCATAAAATCTAGCTACCAAAGAGGAACGTTCATCAGAACAATTACCATAAAACTATTAATGGAAAATCAAAGGGAGGCTACTTTAGGGCGGTAGGAAATTAACTGAAGCCGAAATGCCATATCAGGAATAATAACATATTCTTTGGATTTCATCAAGAATCTCTAAATATATAGTAGAGACACCATTCTATATGTGGCAGCAATATTCAAAGGAAGGACGAATGGTAGACTTATGAATGTGTAAGATAGATTCTGGCAGGGGAAAAAACTGTCTCGCACTTCACAGGGAACATACATTCATAGAAACAATAAATTGATTCAATATAATTTTTCCCCTTCATTTCAGCGGAAGACGTAAGTTCAAGAATTTAATCAAGATCGTTTATTGCTTCATTATTGATAACTTGATCTTATCTCAGACACATTGTTGATCCTTCAGGCGTAAAATCATTCAGGTTTCGGTGCCAATGCTCAAGATCAGTTTGAACAGTTTTCCTATTTTGCAATGCTCTGAATAAATAATAACCGGATGATAGAACAAGGTAAGGACACTAAGGGGAATGAGGTAAAAGTTTCCTAATCTTTCATTAGTGACTCGGACAATATGTTTCCTTGCATTATTCTATAAGAACCAAAGAGTTTTATGATCATCCAATTATGGCGCCTTTTTATTTTCAAACTTTTGTGCAATTTTTATGGCTATCTACAATACTGCTCACCATTAACTGTCTGCTTTTGGTTTAGCCCTTCTGGATAGATAAAAAAAGAAAAAAAAACTTCATAACCTATCAAAACAGAGAGTAGAACTATTATCATGTGTAACCCTGATTTGAGGGTTGATCCATTTTTGTCAATGGATGCCAACATATTATAGAGTAATACATAGTATAGGATTGGTATATACGGAATAAATTCCAATAACCAACAAATACTATTCTTAAAAGAGTGCTCAATACAGACTAGAGCAAATATAATATAAGTCTTGAAACAAAATGGCTATATTTGTAGTGATTTTATAACATATTTATGTTATAATTTTCGAATAAATAATTATATATATATATATATATATATATATATAATATTAGTGGTAAATATACACATAGTATACCAAGGAGAGGTCAACATATAAAGAGATAGAGCTAACATCTTAATCCAGATGTATGTATATGTGTATATGTATATATATGTATATGTTATATGTATATATAAGTTTGTGTGTTTTTGTGTATATTTGTGTGGCTATGTGGATATATTTATATGTGTGTACATGGGTATATGTATGTGTGTATGTGGGTACACGCCTATGTGTATGTATATACGTGTGTATGTTATTGTGTATATGTTATTGTGTATGTGTGTATTCGCATGTGTTTTTGAACATAAAAATATAGGTCTTGCTAGATTAGATAATCGTTATATTTATTTTTTATATGTTTATATTTGATTTGTAACCTGTAGTCGATATTAAATTTGTCAAATTTTCTCAATTACACAGCGGCCCTTTCAGTAATTGTCCTTCAATTTTAGTTTCCCCCGCCCAATCTCTCTCCCCCACCTCTTCTTTCCTTTCCCTCCCTCTTATTCTGATCTTCAACATTAGATCGTCTATGGTGTGTGTATGTCACCACGAAATGTATCTTTATGCATTAGACATCCGACAATATTCATATTTCTCTTACTTAAACCCTTCCACTCACCTCTCCTAAAATTCTCTGTTAAGGTTTAATCTCCCTCCTCTAGTCTGTTACCCCTCTCTTTAGCTCTAACATTCGTCCCACACCCTCATACTTACACTCTCTCTAAATTCTGTTTTTATTTCCAGAGTTGTTTTTTCTGTTTTCTTTTTGAATTTGTAGGTCTGATGAATTGGATCGTATTTACGATTCCAATGGAATAAATTATGACCATGGAATATTAGTGTTTAAGCCTTTTTATTATATATATATATATATATATAATCCATTACGCCACAGTACCGACGGATATTGCTGATGTGTTTTGGAGCCTTTTATATTCAATCTTTGATTTTTTTTCTAGATCTGGCAGTGAAGTATCGATTGCTGAAAATACCACAATAATCAATAAATAACCTATATCAGCTAATCAACGGAGACCTGATGATGATAAAAAATGGACCTGCTCGAAACGATGTATCTATATCAACTAAAATGAGAAAATAAATTGAAATAATATAAGTATATTGGCAATTACTTATCTCTGAAATGAAATGTCAAATTCTATTTACCTTTTTATCAAATGTTTTGGTGGGCCTTATTATTTATAATTATACGGTCAATGTTTTCTGACAGATAGTTTGTTGCTATCGATACTTGTGCATCTAAGTATTTATTCTTCATGGTTATTTCATTTATTTATAATATTGATATATTTGGTTGTAATAGAATAGGCTAAGAATTTTCTTCATAATCGCCATTCGTTTTCATGCATTTTCTTTGAACGATATCGTGACAGGCAGATTTAATATGTGAAAAATTGATGGCGGGTTTGCCGATCACATACTGACACTCATTATAGAATATGCAATAAACTAGGACTTATATGATTAAAGAAGGCGTAAAAAAAAAGAAACAGCATTCTTAAAGCATAAACATTTTGATTTAGGAAATTTGCAAAGGAATAGTTAAATCCAACACGCAACACACACACACACACACACATATATATATATATATATATATATATATATATATATATATATATATATATATATATATATCGGTAAAAATCCGTAAGTAATTCAAGTGAATCATCTTAATATAAATATTAAAATGATCCACAAAAGAGAGCTCAATATATTTATTATACAGCATAAGAATGAATTACATATAAATGAAACTCAATTGTACCCCATTTTTCTGGCCATTTCGATCCTCGTGATAAATGTGATAAATTTTCTGGAGTTTGTCAATATTAAAACGTTTGAAAAAAAATTGAATGAATCATTATATAAATATATATATATATA